TACTCGCTGACGCACCCATAAATGATGGAGACGTTGAAATAAACACATCATCTGTAGCGAGATGGCCGCGAAAACAGGCCGCTATCAATCCTACTCTCAACCTATTCACGATTCCACCCACGGATCTTTCTACTGCCAGTTACAGGTAGGTCAAAGTACCACCTCAGACAGCGAGTATTACTCCGATTCACGTTTACATAGAAAGACAATCGGATTACATTGATCTGGAGCGGAGTTTTGTGAAATTGTATTTGGGATTCAAGACAACGGGAAATGCCAATCTCACTTCACGCAATGACACTGTGAATCGCATGACAACTCCAGCCAATAACCTGGCGCACACACTCTTCAAACAAGTCAATTTCCGAGCTAATGGCACCCTTCTCACAGAACAAGTGGTCATGTACCATCTCAAAGCCTACATACAGACGGTGTTGAATTACGACAGAGATAACGGAGAGACCATTCTTCAACCCACAGTTTGGAGGAATGAAATCGATTTGCCCGTGACGATCGGCAAAAAAAAAAAACTTACCCCGAGAACCAAGTGAAATACCAATAACAACTTCCACGTTTAACTGCATGGAATTGTCCATAATTCTGATTGCCCGATTGCCTGATTGTCTGTTTACTTGTATGATTAGCTATTTGTAGATTTTGTGGCTGGTAACGAGTACTTTACTTTGTTTTGGCGGACCTCATTTGAAAACCGTTTTAATATCATTAAGTAAAGATCATTTAGTTCCCAGACCAGGGGAGTAAATATAGCAGAATCCAAAAGATGGTTTTATACCTGTCAAGCTGATCGGTCAATATTTTCCAAGTTTCAGATGCCGGGGAACATTTTTGCAGGTTTGCTCTGTTAATGAACAGTTTGAAGAATTCAGAAGACAAGTATCAGAGAAAGTCAGGACAAATGACAGAAAGTGATGGACCAAAAAGTAAGACATTTACTGTAAAATTCAGAAACGACAATTTGGGTAAACATTGTATAAAAACGAGATCCCCATGCTTCTCCATACCTTACACAGAAAAACTGCCTCAACTTGTCCGGGTAATCATCTGGTGATGAGCCTTCAAAGAAGGAAACGTAAAATCATAAAAGAACTTGTAACTGTTTAAGTAACTTGCGTTAACCTTTCTGAACTTTAATTTAAAATTTAAAAGCTATTTCCTTTTATTGTCTTTTTAGTATTTGGCATCCCTTTTTTGTCATAAAAAAATTTGCTACAGAATTTGTGACTCATAATGGAATCCAGCGGTTACTAGAAGTACCACGCCCATCAGTGGCTGCTGCTTATATTATCTCGCTTACAATGAGGACGCCATGGAGGGGGTAAGACATTTTTCCATTTTAAAAAAAATGTTTTTAGGTTTTCTGATTTGTAGTTGTAAGAAATGCATTATTTAGTACAGATTTAACTTACCAATGATCTGTGAGTTATGAGCAGACCAGTTTTTTCTAAAAGAAAGAGGTAACGAGTATCATTCCGTTAAATATGAAATAACAATGAATAACACATCTCTGATTATTTTTCATCAATCTCCCTCCCCCCCCCAAAAAAAAGCTTTTTTATGTATAACGTATAACCCAAAGTTGGAAAAAATTTAACACCACTTAGTGCTGCATGAAGAGAGATAAAAAAGGAATACAAGAAAAACTGGTCAAATGGATAAATAGAATCGTAATAAAAGGAGAAAGAAAAAGATAAAGATAAAAAACAAAGATTATCACTCAAAAAATGTTATCTTACAAAATTACCATTAATTCTACAAAAAAACTTCAATGATTAAATTCTTGGTGCCCTTTTTTCTACATGGGCCAGAGGATTATGAAATTAACAAACAGAATATGTCGACGGAGCCTCCTCAACTCTTTCAAGTAACATGTTTCAGGTGTCCCTCCTACCAAACCCTGTGCTGAGTGACCTGGTCAAGTATGCATTGGGGCTTCTAGAATGTTCTCACGACTCTAGCAGATGTCACGCAACTCTCTTTTTCTCGCTCACGTGTTCATTTCGAGCAGTGCTGGAATTGTTCGACAGTAATGATGGTCTGCGGAAGCTTGTGAACCGGGTAATTAGTCAGTTATATTTATTAGTCAGTTATATTAAAAGGTTTTTACTTTTTCTCCTCAGCCCGATGGCAAGTCTGTTTTATTTGGAACACAAATAGGCGAGTTGAAGGAATACAACTTAATAACTGGACAGGTACAAAACTCAATTTACTCCTTTTGATTTCAAGTCAAACGCTAATTTTTTCTTGAAATAGCTATATGTGTATAAATTAGTCGTTGATTGTGACAAGTTAAGTTGTCAGCTGTATCATACCTATTTTTTTTTTGGTTCTTTTTTAGATTTAAACCGCTCAGTGCATGGTTTTCATGTTCATTTGTATTTCACGTATTTACTTTTAAAAAAATTACATTTTGCAGAAAGAGTCGACTTATGTCTGTAGCGCAGACAGAGCAATTTCCATGTGCCAATGTTCAAAAGTACGAATACAACATGGAAGCTTCCCTCCTCATATAGTTAAAAATACCTTTCTTTCTACTTCGAACAGGTCGAAAGTTTCATTAATGTTTTTCACGTTTTTTTTTTGGGCGCACCCACCCCTCCCTCCCCCAACCCAACAACAGTCAAATGGTAACAAGTTATGTTCGATGTTGGATTTCGTTCCACATCCACACAAACAAGGCAGCTCCGCTATTGCTTTTAAATAACTTAACGTTCGGCCAAATTCAGTCTTCTTGTTAACTGTTTAGTTTCCATATCTTTCGCTGAAACCAATCAACCCTTTTTATTCATCAGTTTTGTAACGCGTTTCGCAACGTTATGAACCTTTCTAAGGCTCATGTGACCATTTCAGGTTGTGTTCACGAGTTCATTTATCACTGAAATTGTCTTTTTGTACTTCATTCTTCAATTTTTAGGACCGCGAACTTTTATTGACGTCATCTTCGTCTGCTTTGTCTCCCTGTGCTCTTTGGTCATTTGGAGACGTTTTCGAAATGAAGTAAGTCTTTGAACTTGAAAACCTGTTTGATTCATACCACTAGTGCATTGGATAGGCACGTCCTTGTTTGTGTCTCTGCTTGGTTTATTTGTATCTCACCTTTAACAAACTACATTGTTTGTCGCAGAAACATAAAACAAACACATACTTCACCTTGTTTTACCATTAATTTTTATTGACTTGAGGATCGCTGAAGTACAAAAAAAAGTTTTACATTGTTCTTTCAGAGCTACAACTTTTACAGAAGACACTTAGACAAACTAATGTCATAAATTACAGGAGACGAGCAATGATTCCAACTTAATTCACTTGCGGCAATCAATGCTCAAGATCGAAACAAGCAAAATGGGAAATAATTTCGGTGTAAATCGTGGCTCGTATCCTATAATCGGATTGGTGTTAATAACGCGGTGACAGTAGGCGAACTGTAATATTTCGTCGTTACATTTATCTTTCTCTTTAATAAAAAATGTTATTTACTTAATAATTTTATTTGTTTCTCTGGCTCAGATATCCATCTAACGAAGACATCTGGGTAAAGTTTAATAATTTATCAGAAGACAGAATTATTAGCACAGACAACGCTATTGCGCATGTGAGTTCAAGACATATGATGCATTTTCACTTCTAAACATATCAGGAGCAGCCATCAACCATCAGATTTACGACACTGCGACAGGTCAGCGGGTACTAACTCTGCACGATTTCAACAACACTAATAACTACTCCAAGAACCTCGCCTCCTTCAATCCCACGGACGACCTGGTACTGAACGAAGGTGTATTATGGGATGTCAAAGGCAAACGGGTTATACACAAGTTTGACAAGTTTAGCAACTTTGTCAGCGGCTTTTTTTCAGCCCTCCGGGCTAGAGATTATCATCAATTCAGAGATTGTATCTTTTTCTTGTTTTTATAGAACGAGCCAATGCTATACTGTAAAGCAGTGGGTCCACATCACGTTTCACGAAAATAACGGAACACAACGGCCTTTCACGGATCTCGAAAAATCACTTTACCTCCTTCTTCTTACTTTGACAGTGAATTAGGAGAGAAATAGATATCAAGGACTATTATTTCATTAAAAAAAGTTTATTGTTTCCTCATCTTGAGCGTTTTCGGGAATCAATACACAGTCACCTGACTGATCCACCGAGTATAAACTTATGTCTGAATATCCTAGGTGATTTGCCGGCCAATTTACATCATCAACCTAGTCGATAAAACCAAACTATCTGGTTATTTCCCCGCCCTCCCCACCGACGGAGCCTACTGTTTCTTGTGAAACTAACCCCTTGGATTGTCTTAAGCAACTCATTTCAAATCAACAGTTTGCCTTTTGTTTTGCCAATAGTCCTTGACGCTAAAAACAGCGGGATCGTCGCTCTTTCCATATACTAGACACATGTCCTTCACTAGATCAATGTCACGTGATCTTTAATAACAGTGGTGACGTCATGTACGGGGGTAATTTCATGTTTACTTGTTTACACACTTCTCAAATTCAAATTAATTTTTCACGAAGGAAATCAGACCCGACATTGAGGTTTTAGTGCGTCCAAGTCGTGAGTTTTTAGTTGTGATCTATTTGTCATCTCGATATTCAAATTCAAATTGAGAGCACAGAATACTCACCCGGGATTATGGTTCCATAGGTTTTCAGCAGTTTATAGATATCCAAAATTGCGTAAGAAAATTTTTCAACTTTTCATCAATTTTTCAGCAACTTTTGCCGTGTTTGGAAAAGTGAAAGAGCTCTAGCTCTTTTATTCGACTCATAACCCTAAAACTTCCGGCTCCAGTCTTTCGAAGGTTGGATAGCGCTATCCACTAGATAAAACTCTTTCCGTCGGATAGCGTTATCCGCCCTTTACATAACTGGGCCCTCAGGGAAAAGTCCCTCAGAGCCTCTGATATCTCAAAAAATGAAAAAAAAATATGAATTCTGGACTGAAGGGAGCGGTATTTGTTCTTCCGTATTTTATAGTAAAAATGGACCTTGGACCGTACGAGACCTCGTTCAGGACCTTTGACGCAACAAATTATCAACCAATAGGTAAGCAGGAGGGCTTGCTAAAAAATTTTAATAGAAATTTTGTTTGGCGCTTGTTATCAGTTAATTTGAAATACCTTGACGTTTACGAAATGAGCGTGTAAATGATGTTAAAAATTTTAATTGCTTTCAAACAGCTACAATCGACGTTAAGAAGACAATATTTGATTTGTGTACCGATATAACTGACAGCTTTGTAGCCGTTATTGAGGTAAGCTTATAAATCGGAAACCTCTGCCTTGTTTTGTTTTCCTCCCTTCCATCCTTCTTCTTTCATTCCCATCCTCTTCCTCTCCCTCTCCTCCTGCTTACCTTCCTCTCCTCTCTTTTTTTCTCCCTCTTCTCACTCCTTCGGAGATAAGAGTATTCTTATGATTTCTATGAAACATTAAATTCAGTTCATCTTGATCGTAAGACCTGAGTTGATAGATTCACCTTTCATTAACGGGTAGTGACTAGATATCTCAGCCGGCCTGGGTATTGCACCCAGCATCTCGCGAGGTCACAAGTTCAAATCCTGTTCAAAGTCTCAATGTTGTTTTTGATTTGTTTTGTTTTTTTCATTCCCCCAAACCTCTTTTCTAAATTATTCGAGAAGCTGAAGCCCAATCATTAAAGCGTAGGAATCAGGGTCGAGGAGTCTGGTTTGGGACCCTAGTTAGGGCGAACACTGTTAGCATTAAAACTAATTATAAAACAAACCGTCGAGTGCAGAAGTGTGTCTGCTTCAAACTGCCGTTAACGATCAAATGGAAGAAACATCGTCAAAGGGATTAACGGAAGCTACACTCAAAGAACATAGAATGCAGCGAATATCAGCTCATATCTGTGTCCTCGGAGGAGGTTACGTCGAAGCCATTTGTCTCCTCGCTGAAAAAAAACTGCCTCACAGTTTCACTCATCCGCTCTACGCTTTTTTGTTTTTCTTCTTTTTTCTTTTTCTTGTGGTTACGGTTACTTGCTCAATTTCGAAAATGCGGTGACGCACAATTAGTCAGGGGGTGTTTCGCTTTTTAACAGCCTCTTCGAGCAAGCGTCTTTTCGCCTTTTACCGCCCCCTCCTTCCACTGTCCAATCAAACTCCAAGTCAAACATGGCCGTGACATAATCAATTCCAAACTTCTTAACTTTAACTCGCCCTAATATAACGCCTGCACTGCAAGCTCAGGAGCTAACAGTAATCCCAGCTACCTTATGTCACGACAACTGGGAGAAACTTTGGCAATGTGAGCTATCTGACTGGCTTTACTTGTCATTTCATGATTGCATAAGTTGCAAAATATCAGCGTAAGGATCTTGTCATGTCATAACAGATCACATTAATTATTTCATATCATAGATCCGGTAACGTTTTTTTTAGAATCAGGCCAGCACCGACGAAAGCGTTTTCCGGGTATACGAAGTCGGGCGGCTGCGTAAGGCTGATGACGAGGAAGAGCAGGTATGAAAATCTTGAGGACTTTCACATCAATATTCGCAGAAACGGGCCAATCAAAGAGAAGTGAAAGCGCCATCGTGGATGCGAATTCGGTTATGTGATTGGCTCGTGCCTTATTTGCATACAAAATGCTGCACTTTGTTAGATTGTGGAGTATAACGCCCCCTGGCACTAAAGCAGAGATGAACTTTAAATCACTTTTGGAACATACTTCAAGAACACGCCACTTATTGCAACACGTGTTTTATGTAGGTCAACAAAATAACGACTCAATGCCTTTTTTCTCTTAGGAATCCGACGAAGGTGGCGAGGAAGATGGCGATGTCGATGACGATGTTGATGAGAATGACGATGATGAGGATGAGGATGATGATGAGAATGACGAGGATGAGGATGAGGATGATGATGATGATGACGATGGAATCGAAATCACGATATCCGGTCTGATGATGATTCGGATGATGACAGTGATATTGCAATTTTTTGAAGCGCGGCTTTAAAGTTTCCATCTTTAAGTTATTTCAACTCAACAATGAAAACGTCATTCTGCTATGTTTTTATCTTTGAAAAATGTACGTGTATCACGCAATTTGGGAATGATAGTTTAAGCTTGGAGTTGAGCTTGTTGACGGCGGAGTTTTATGTAAAATGCTATGTAGCATAAAGTAGTAGTCATCATCGAAAAAATTACACCCATGTTACTGATTATCAAATAAATAGGAAGGATGGAATGGTTTGTTATTCCTCTTGTAATGCAAACAAGCCAGCAAAGGACTACTCGCCACAGAGTTACCACTTGTCGATATCTTAACCTTGGTGAAACAGCTAAAAGTCTGTCTGTACTTATTGCAGTCAGTGTGAGGGCAGACACGCCACAGAAAATGACCCCCAAGGTTCGGTTGATAAGTGAGCCATGATAACAAATTGCAGAGTGTTCTTGGGAAATTATGTAAGGAAGATGAAACAGCTGGAGTTGAGTCTAACACTGATATCAGTGCATGCAAGATTACTGAACAAACATTTTGATGGTTGATGAAGGGAAGAAATCTTGCAGAGAGGGAAAAGAATGAGACCATTTCCCACAATGGCTGCAATGAAAATTATGAGATCAATGACGAAACAAACATAATAAGACTTCGATCATATACGCCCGTAAAGCAACGAAATTGATCGATTCTTGTTTGGTTTGTATAGTCCGTCAGGTTTTCCATGTTATTTTATAGCAGTTACCACTCTCATTGCTAAAGGCGTTGAGAACTCTCCTCTTGAAGACCACACAACATCCAAAGAACGAATCTAGTTTCCGAAATGAGCAGGTGGTGATATTTAAGTCTTTCTAGCCATTTAAGACTGTCAACTGCAGAAGGGGGTTTTCTATATTCAAGAAAAACTCAGTTGACGTGCTTTCGGTCAATATCATTTTGTTTTCTTTCCCTATAGTGATTTTCCAATATTTCCTGTGGCTTATTTTTTCATTTTTACTTCAAAAGAAGCATGGAGGTAATTGTTTGTATTCAGCTGGCTATTTGCGGTGGTAAAACTGTTTTTCCGCACACTACAGCCTACTCCTTTCAAAGAAAATTTAAATTTTTCTGTTACGAATAATAGGGAACTGGCATACGGCAGCCAGTTTACTCTATCTACTCAGTTGATAACATTAAATTAAATTTGAATCTCTTTCTTTACTGCTGGAAGTTCAGAGAAGTGAGAATTGCAGTAAAGAAGGCAATCAGAGCGTTTTGTTGTTGTTTGTAGCTCAAGGATGCCTTTATTTTATGAGAATTTACCTCAATGTTCTTAAACATCAGTATATTATGCACATTTTTTTTATCTAAAAAGCACTTGCTCATCATAAAGGAACCACAAATATGTTACCTTAAAAACAAAACAAGCATAGCTAAGAAGGACAAAGACACACATGGGTCAAGAACTGGAAAGAAAAGCTGACTTGTTGAGGAAGCTCTACATAGTATCGGTGAAAAATAACAACTAAACATCAAACAATATCAGAAAACAGTTTCCAGCATATTTTGGGTGCAGTTGGCTTTAGTGGCATGCTACACCCCTTTTATAATTGTGTCGATATTGAGACATACAGTACTTAGTGGATCAGCAGTTCATGCTCTGTGGCTCTTTACTAAAACTTTAGTTTATCTGAACTCATCTCTGAATCCCTTTCTTTACTGTTGGAAAATCACAGAAGTGAGAAAGGCAGTAAAGGATACAGCCAGGGCGTTTTGTTGTTGTTCGTGATTCGAGGTCGCCTTAACTTATATGGAAAAACTTCCGTGTCCTTAAAGAAATAATTTTTGGCGAATTTTCATATTAATCAATAAGGAATCATTAAATGCTGACAAGTAATTGCACTTACAGAGTCGAAACTCTTTTGCAATATGGGGAGGAATACAAATTTCTTTTCTTTTCCATGTTCTCTTTACAGGAAGGAGAATAAAAAAAATTAATAAATAAACGTTAATTGTGGACTTGTCTTTGCTCGATATGCCCGGTTCTCTCATACGTAAATCTAATATCTCGCATTTTGACTGAACAAACCGTTTTCAGCGAAGTGCGAAGCAACTTTGTCGAATAAAACCTTAAAAGAGTCTACCCCGTACATTTGTGCGGCCCCTTTAGTCCTCTTGCTGGCGGCGCTTTTAAACAAGGAAGGTTGTTATTTTCTTTTCCTTTTTCGCCGCCTCAATTATTGCTGACTTCTCTATTTAGAAAGTCATAGTGAACCACTGCTTTCTTTTGCATTTTTAGTCTTTTTCAGCTGACTTTTCCCCACAATTAGGAGGAAAAACCTCAAGATGAATATGTCTAACCTTTATTTTAAAATGCGTCATTTTTGAATATCAAATAAGACCACATTAAACATCTCACAAATTGAGGACGCCACAAAAATGGCTGATTGGTAATTAAATGGCTTATATTTTGGTATTATCAAATTCGAGAATAATAAAAAACGAGATTTAGCTAAACTGTAAGTTCTCTTGAACATTAACTTTATGATGAAAACACCAGCGGTCGTCTCAGCCCTTATCAATGTTCAACAAATTTTTTTTTCACATCTGCTTCCAAAAACAAAGCGTAAAATGTGTAATGATGTAATACGAATAAATCATTCACACGAGCTCTAGAATATGATGTAGGCCATTTTGGCAATAGTCTTGGTTTTAAGGGCGTGATGAATGACTCAATAGCTTAGTCATTAAAACCGGCTACGCTCTCACAGAAAGGCACAATCTGTCTCCTCCTGACGGTTTTTAAGAAGTATTACGTGCTTACTTATCGGTACCTGTTATAGTATTTAGCTAGAGACTGGCAAATTGAGTCATTAGGCTTTCAAATACTTTATTCTTAGTCGCATAAATAAACCGTTTTTGGTTGACAGATATGTCAGCCTGCTTGTTTTAATAACACCAAGGGTAACAGTACATGATTATTGACACACTTCAGTTGTTGTTGTACAGGTGCTGGTGTTGGTGGTGTTGGTGGTGTTTCAAGTTTATTTAAATTTCCTTCATTGACATTAATTTTACAAGATATGGATAGAAAAATGATCCATTTTCCAATATTGGCTTCTCTTATATCTATATATGGATCGAAATATGTCAGATTTTCGGGAGATTCAAATAAAAAACAATTTAAATTTAATTTCGTGTGCAGAAATTTCAAAACCCTATCTAAGCAATAAATACTTCCTTATAAGCATATTGAACAGTCAAATAGATAAACACTGAAAAAAAGGCAAAAACCAAAATTTTTGAGATTGATATCAGAGTCCCCACCGATCTTTTGATCGACGAGCGTGGTTTTATTTCACTTTCATTTAAAGGACACTCCCTGTCTCAGAAAAAATTGTTGTCTTAGCCCAGCCTTGAACTGGGAGAGAAATCTGAAGTTTAGTATCATCCAATAATATTCAGTAAAACAAGATTGAGGGGCACATGAAAAGTCCTTTACATAAATTCTGAACAAAAACAAGTCATGGATCAACCGCTTGTGGCACTCTGGATTCAAAGACCAGAGAGTCAGGGACTTAGAATTTATGAGCGCTACTTGTTTACATCAGATGGATTAATAATGAACTAAGCCACGCCGGAATGCCCTCGTTTATTTTGTCAAAGGCCCTTCTCACGTCAAAAAACACAGCAACGGACAGTAAGAAAATAACTGCCGTTGCCTAATTCTCTAAAAATCATAGCACAGTACTTCTCACGATGAAAGTTGAAGCAATGGGTTAGGCAATGTCAGCGTTATATGTAAGTGCTCGTGAAAAAAAACAAAATTGGAAAATGACTGAATGAGAATCCATTATTATATTAGCTCGTTCGTATTTCTCGAAAACGCCATCTATTGCTTTATTAAACTCGACATATTTGCTGGCATAGTGCACCAGGAAGGTACGATTAGTATCAACAATATTCAAACACAATATCCCGAGACGCCAAAATGCCTGGAACTGTGGAGATAAAAAGTAAAAACTAATGCTTCCTTGGCACTTGGAATATCTGCCTTAGGCCAACTTCTGCACTAAGAATCATCACAATGGGGTCATTTATGTTTCAAACTTCTAAAACACTTTTCTCAGACAATGATTAGAAGCAGTGATGTGAAATAACAACATTCAAGACTAATCAGCTTAATACCGCCTATCTAATCAACAAATTGGAATAGAGAACTCGATTGAAAAGGCCGGTGAGTCAGTAGCTGTCTACAAAAAGGATAAAATGTATTGGGTTAATAATGTTTTGAAAATATGATACTCCTGGTTGCTAAGCGAGCGTAAGCTGGGAATAGAAAAATATATACACTTATCAGAACTAACGCAGCGCTACTGGATTTTCGTCAATCTTACTCTTTTAAGGAGGCCAGATGTCATTCTAGTTTATGGTATCCTTCAAATCTACAGTTAGATCCAGACCAGCAACTTTGCTGCAATGAATGGAGTAAACGAAACGAGTTT